TCTTATTTTCTGTGAAAATAGGTTTGAGAGGAACTAATTCATTGGTTTCTATGAAATATGTACATGTTTGTTAAAAACAAATATCACAGGAACTTATTTAATTTTTTTAAAACTCTTAATATTAATTGGAACAAAATTCATGGAGCTATGATTTTTGTTACGGAACTTATTTCACATTTAATCATAAAATTAGTTCCGGAACAAATTTTACAGTGCTGGAACATATTTTCTGTGATATAAATTCCGATGGAACATATTTCATATGAAATTTGTTCCAGCGGAACAAATGTCACGCCGGAACAAATTTTTTGTTACACTCTCACTTAATAATACAAAACTTGGTGACGAATCTATCCCATCGAACTAAAGATAAAGGATACTACAGATACAGTTAAGTCTGTCTCATATCTTGACTTACATCTAGAAATTGACAATGAGGGTCGGTTGAAAACAAAACATTACGACAAAAGAGATGATTTCAGCTTCCCAATTGTGAACTTTCCATTTCTATGTAGCAACATTCCAGCAGCCCCTGCATACGGAGTATATATCTCCCAATTAATACGATATTCCTGGGCCTATATTTCCTATCATGATTTCCTTGACAGAGGATTGCTGCTTACAAGGAAGCTATTAAACCAAGAGTTCCAAATGGTGAAGTTGAAATCATTCCTTCGTAAATTTTACAGACGCCATCACGAGTTGGTTGACCATTATGGAATAACCGTTTCACAGATGATATCGGATATGTTCCTTATGTCGTAACTACAATGCCCTTCCCTTTTCACGAATGTGACCTACCGAATTAGACTATTTACCGGATTTGTAATAACATAAGCAACACGACGGGTGCCACATGTGGAGCAGGATCTGCTTACCCTTCCGGAGCACCTGAGATCACCCCCAGTTTTTGGTGGGGTTAGTGTTGCTTAGTCATTAGTTTTCTCTGTTGTGTCATCTGTACTATTATTTGTCTGTTTGTCTTTTTATTTTTGGCCATGGCGTTGTCAGTTTGTTTTCGATCTATGAGTTTGACTGTCCCTCTGGTATCTTTCGTCCCTCTTTTGTGTTAGTGCTTACCTAGACATAGTAGATTTATAATTGCTCCCATCCTCATTAGCTGTGCTATGGTAGTGGATTACTAGTAAGTTCTTTCAGTATAGAAGTTGCTCTCTTTGTCAGGATCTTGGTTATGATTCCTGTGATACATTGGTAATGCAGGAAGAAAAAACATACTCTACTGTTAAGTGTTATACTTAAATGGGATATACCTTTGGGTCATCATACCTATATTGGAGTTGTCATGACAGAAATTGTCATCATGGTATTATGTCATTCTTGAAGTGGAAGGAGTCTAGTCCTAGTTTCCCCTCAACTAATAGATAACTCACTGCCCTTCATTATTTGCACTAGTTAGGAGAATGGTGGCTTATTATGTCAGGTCCTTTGTTTGATCTCTGGTGATACAACAGTCATTTTGTAAGTAAAATCATGCTCTGTTGTTATACTTGTATGGGATATATATATCTATGGGTGACTAGTATTATACCTACAATTACAGGGTGTAATCTAGATTCACAAAATGACAAACTACACTTTAAATCTGCCCACTTTTTATTTAGATATCAGAGCTTAAGAACTTTATAATAGCAGAATTGTCTCAGTTACAGTACATCATTTCAAACTTCTGATGTTTTTCAACTTCTAGATAGTCCCTGTATTGTATTTGCAGACTCAATCAAAAACCAATATGAATTATTTGATTGAAAATTAACCAATATTTAATGTTGTTTTCAGCCACATTTTAGTATTAGCTTGTTTTCATTTAGATTAAACTCAATCATATCATACTTAAAAAGCTTTAACTCATTATTAGTGAGATCACCAGACAACTCATCATGAAATGGACACAGATTGTTATTGTACAATTGGTCATTGTCAGTGGTACTGGTGGAATAAATGGGTCTTTTGTTGCAGTTTTATTACATTTATTGAAACCAGCTCTGTCAGGGCATCTGTCTAATTTCCTTGTAATAATGGATGTAAAATAGATTCCATGTCATTTTTATTTTAGATGATAAAATTGCTTTTCACACTTTTTTGTTTTGATAGAAATGGATTGAAAATGAGAATTTTAAATGAATGTGATGCTGCAGTTATCATATAAAGTGTTTTAATTAATTGATTTAGAATGTTAAGAAAGAGATAATTGACAGCAAAGTTTTTTTTGTAGAAAATGTAATGAAATATAATATTATTAAGAATGCATTTGAAATAATTTTACAGATTTGCAGAAATTTAATTCATCAATTGAACAGAACGCATATTTAGTGGTTAAATTGATTCTAATAGTTCTTATTCTGTCTAGAAGTCTAGATAATTGTTGAACAAGTACAAGAACAGATCTCTTTCATTCTTTGATAACAATCAGGAGCCTGTAGTTCATTGGTTGTCGTTGGTTCATGTCTGTCATATTTGTTTTTCGTAAATTGTTTTGTTATGAATTAGGCCGTTGGTTTTCTCAATTGAATTGTTTCATATTTTCATGTTGGGGCATTTTAAAGCTGACTATACAGTATGGTTATTTTCATTGTTGAAGGCTGTATGGTTGTCTATAATTGCTTATTACATCCACTTCATTTGAACTTTGGTGGATAGTTGTCTCATTGGCAATCATGCCACATCTCCTAATATTTTATATCAATTGCAATAAAGGTGTAAGTCTAAGGTCCATATAACTATTCAACATGCAAGGCTATATCTCTTTGTGAGCCTTTGAAAACAATCACCATTACAAAAGGGTGTAAATTTTGGTCGATATAACTATATTTAACATATACCAGAAAACATCTTTTATGGGACTTTGAAAAAATCACCATTACAGTAGGGGTGCAAGTCTTAGTCCAGATAACCAGTTCCATCTCTTCATGGGCCTTGAAAAAAATACAGTAGGGGTATTAGTATTGGGCCATATAACTATTTAACATATACTAAAAAAGTTCCCTCCATGGGCCTTTGGAAACAATCACCATGACAGAAGGGGTGTTAGTTTTGGTCCAGTTAAACCCTTCAACATATACCAGATCAGATCTCTTCATGGGTCTTTGAAAACAATCACCAAAACAGTAGGGGTGTAAGATTTGGTCCAGTTAAACCCTTCAACATATACCAGATCAGATCTCTTCATTGGCCTTTGATAACAATTACCATAACAGTAGGGGTGTTAGTTTTGGTCCAGTTAAACCCTTCAACATATACCAGATCAGATCTCTTTTTGGGTCTTTGAAAACAATCACCAAAACAGTAGGGGTGTAAGATTTGGTCCAGTTGAACCCTTCAACATATTCCAGGCCAAGTCTCTCTGTTTGCCTTGGTAATAATCACCATTACAGTAGGGGTGTATAAGTCTTTGTCCAGATTACCATTCAACATATTCCAGGCCAAGTCTCTCTGTTTGCCTTGGTAATAATCACCCTTACAGTAGGGTTGTATAAGTCTCCCTGTTTGCCTTGGTAATAATCACCCTTACAGAAGGGTTGTATAAGTCTTGGTCCAGAAAACCATTCAACATGTACCAGACCATAACTCTCTCTGTTGGCCTGGCTTGTAATTGGTAACAATCATTATTATTGTAGGGTGTAAGTCTTGTTCCAGAAAACTGTTTAACATACATTTAGGGTGTAAGTCTTGTTCCAGATAACTGTTTAACATTTAGGGTGTAAGTCTTGTTCCAGATAACTGTTTAACATTTAGGGTGTAAGTCTTGTTCCAGATAACTGTTTAACATTTAGGGTGTAAGTCTTGTTCCAGATAACTGTTTAACATTTAGGGTGTAAGTCTTGTTCCAGATAACTGTTTAACATTTAGGGTGTAAGTCTTGTTCCAGATAAATGTTTAACATTTAGGGTGTAAATCTTGTTCCAGATAACTGTTTAACATTTAGGGTGTAAGTCTTGTTCCAAATCACTGTTTAACATTTAGGGTGTAAATAAAGGCAACAGTAGTATACCGGTGTTCAAAAGTCATAAATCGATTGAGAGAAAACAAATCCGGGTTACAATCCAAAACCGAGGGAAACACATCAAATATAAGAGGAAAATAAATGAACAACAGGAACATAGAAGTGCAACAAAATTAAACGCCAAGACTTGTTCCAGATAACTGTTGGACATTTAGGGTGTACATCTTGTCGTGACTGTTTACAATAATGTATTGTACTCAGTCAACTTGTATGTAATACAATTTGTCATAAGTTTACCCTTGTCACTCTGGATTCCCAAAAATAGAACTGAATGCATTTGTAAAAATGAACATGCAGAATAAATTTAACCATAAAAATTCAGACTATCACGTTTGTATGCTACATTTGCAGTAGATTGACATTTGATATTCTGATATATTATAAGAATGATCATGGCTATCAATGAAATACCTCTTTATCTGATGTAATATATATATAGCAGGGGTGCAGGTAGTAAAGCCATTGATAACAAGAAGTAGACACTATGAGGGGAATATTTTGGGGTAAGAAAATTTATTTGCATGTGTGATATTAGGCAAGATTATTTATTTCCAACTTAATTGGTCCAAAATATTTATTTCGAATTTGTTTTCAAAATCTCTCCCCCCCACCCCCCCTTTTGCATAATCAAATGGTTGTACCCTATCTACAAAAATTAGACAAAGAAATCTAATCTTTGAACAGTATTTACTTCACTTAAAATGGTGATAAACTCAATTGTAAAGAAAAGGTAGGCAATGCATGTTACACATTCTGCACCAGAGTTGGTAAATTTAAATCACCACCCTAAATTTTTAATTTTTTTTATTTTAGAGAGTGTTTTACCAAAAAATTACAGTTTCCTTACACTTGTTATTGTTATATTTGTCAATCCTATTAATATCTTACTACAATCTTGGAGCATCAATACTGATAAAGGCTATCATAAAAGACTGTTGTCAGCAAAAATATGTTTGATCAATGTCATTTATATTCACAGAGAGGTACGAGATGCAACAGGTGTGGATGTTGATATGAGAATTGGGATCCACAGTGGCATGGTCTTGAGTGGTGTATTGGGTCTTAGTAAGTGGCAGTATGATGTCTGGTCAGATGATGTGACAACAGCCAATCAGATGGAATCTGGAGGTGTTCCAGGGTAGGTCTGATGTTAATTAGTAAATCACTTGAAATCTGATGGTCTTCCAGGGTAGGTCTGATATTAAATTAGTAAATCACATAGAATCTGGAGGTGTTCCAGGGTAGGTCTGATATTACAGTAGTGAATCACATAGAATCTGGAGGTGTTCCAGGGTAGGTCTGATATTACAGTAGTAAAACACATAGAATCTGGAGGTGTTCCAGGGTAGGTCTGATATTACAGTAGTAAAACACATAGAATCTGGAGGTGTTCCAGGGTAAGTCTGATATTACATTAATAGTAAATCATATGTAATATGGAAGTGCTCCAGGTTAAGTCTGATATTACAGTAGTAAATTACATGTAATATGGAAGTGCTCCAGGTTAATTCTGATATTACAGTAGTAAATCACATGTAATACGGAGGTGTTCCAGGTTAAGTTGATACATGTATAACATTAGTAAATCACATATATACTGGAGGTGTTCCAGGTTAAGTCTGATATTACATTAGTAAATCACATGGAATCTGGAAGTATTCCAGGGTTAGTCTTATATTACATTAGTATTTTTAATCACATGGAATCTGGAGGTGTTCCAGGTTAAGTCTGATACGGTATAGCGGGTTATTTTCGCGGGGTGTTTATTTTCGCTTATTTTGGCGGATAAACGAAAATCGCGAAAATAAATTCCACGAAAATTTATGCATTCGTTGGGTACTTTCTAATAGCTAAAGCGTTTCGTGAACGATCTATTTTTCCCAGTCGGCAAGTCAATAGCGGTATATGTTAGTTTAAACAACATAAATGCCAAAGGGCATTGTACATACATGTATTTTATAAAATGACTGTCAGGTGTGTATACCCTTATTAATAAGTGTCAATTAGAATACGAGTGTAAGGTACTCTGATCAGATAATTACCCTTATTAATTAGTGTCAAACTATACAAGGGTTGTAAACACTCATGATAATTTTGTAACCTAATTAGTAAGTACATCACAGGTCCGGACAATTTCGTAACTAATCAACCATAAAATTTACAAGACGGTTGAATACATTTACAAATATCTATTTAAGTCATCGGTATTCTATTTATTAACTGTATCAGAATATAATCAATAAATTAGACGTAATTTAGGTAAAAACAAATCATTTTTCCATAACAATAGACACTTGATTGTCAAGTTTTACAACTTTTTAACTGCAACAATTTCAGTATCCGCCAAAATATTTAATTGGGATTTGAGAATCCACCAAAATAAAAACCGCCAAAATTTTTCGTATACTTTGTAGCCCCTAAATCCCGAAATTTTACACCCGCGAAAATAACCCGCTATACGGTATTACATTAATAAATCACATGGAATCTGGAGGTGTTCCATGGTAGGTCTGATATTACATTAGTAAATCACATGTAATTTGGAGGTGTTCCAAATTAGCTCTGATACATGTATAACATTAGCAAATCACTTGTAATCTGGAGGTGTTCCAGGTTACGTCTGATGTTACATTAGTAAATCACATGTAATCTAGAGGTGTTCAAGGTTAAGTCTGATGTTACATTAGTAAATCACATGTTATCTGGAGGTGTTCTAGGGATTGTCTGATATTACATTAGTAAATCACATGGAATCTGGAAGCATTCCAGGGTTAGTCCTATAATACATGAGTAAATCATATGTAATATGGAGGTGCTCCAGGTTAAGTCTCATATCACATCTGTTAATCACATGTTATCTGGAGGTGTTCCAGGTTAAGTCTGATGTTACATTAGTAAATCACATGGAATCTGGAAGCGTTCCAGGGTTAGTCCTATAATACATGAGTAAATCACATGTAATGTGGAGGTGCTCCAGGTTAAGTGTTATATCACATCTGTTGAAACAAGGAATTATTTGAATCTGGAATAATTTTGAATTCTGGAAAATTGATGAGAAATATATGATGAAAACTAACCCAACTAAATAGGGTTAGCCATGCGCGCATGGCTAAGGTGGGTTAGTTAGTTCATACTGAAATGATAGTGAAAGTAAAATTAACCTTAGCCATGCACGCATGGCTAACCCTATTTAGTTGGGTTAGTTTTCATCATACATTTCTAATCAATTTTCCAGAATTCAAAATTATTCCAGATTCAAATAATTCCTTGTTTTAATCACATGGAATCTGGAAGCGTTCCAGGGTTAGTCCTATAATACATGAGTAAATCACATGTAATATGGAGGTGCTCCAGGTTAAATGGTATATCACATCTGTTAATCACATGTTATCTGGAGGTGTTCCAGGTTAAGTCTGATGTTACATTAGTAAATCACATGGAATCTGGAAGCGTTCCAGGGTTAGTCCTATAATACATGAGTAAATCACATGTTATATGGAGGTGCCCCATGTTAAGTGTTATATCACATCTGTTAATCACATGTGATATGGAGGTGTTCCAGGTTAAGCCTGATACACCTATTACATTAGCAAATCACTTTTAATCTGGAGGTTGTTCCTGGTTAAGTCTGATATCAAGGTCATATATTGACCTCTAGGTGTCTGTTTTGGTTTGATTGTTTTGTTGGGTCATTATTTGTGTCTTTTACATAAATTTACATCACGCTTTCTATTATTTATTTGGTATAATGACTTGTTCACCTGTTTGTCTAATGGTTTCAAGTTCAATTAGCAAGACTGAATTAATTATGCTTCATCTCATTATTTCTATAACTGTCACAATTTAAAATATTAGCAGCTTGTTAACTATATTCAGACCATTGATGCTGTAATCTGTAGGTGTGTCTCTTTCCTGGATAAAGCTTTCTATATTTGTTAATAAGCGGAAGAAATAGACTTCAAATGATAGTTATAGACTTGAAGTAGATTTCATGATCAACAGCTGGAAACTAATTAATGAAACAGACAATGACTAATTGTGATTGATTTGAAATAAAATATATAAGAAATATAATTCAAAATTAATTTTGCACATTCATATTTCATTATGGATTTTTATTCTGTAACTAATACTTTTCCAGTAATGATTACCCTAATATAAATCCTTTTTTCCTGTACTTTAAGAGCATCTGTTTTATAAAAACTGTTTATAAGATCACATTTTCTCTAGATAAGTTGCTAGACAGTGTTATTTTCTGGATTGAAGAACAATGCGTTCTTATTGACAGTTTATTTGTACTACATGTAAAACATTGTGTTCTACTTTGCAGTACATTTGTGTTCTACTTTGCAGTACATTTGTACTACATGTAAAACATTGTGTTCTACTTTGCAGTACATTTGTACAACATGTAAAACATTGTGTTCTACTTTGCAGTACATTTGTACTACATGTAAAACATTGTGTTCTACTTTGCAGTACATTTGTAAAACATTGTGTTCTACTTTGCAGTACATTTGTACTACATGTAAAACATTGTGTTCTACTTTGCAGTACATTTGTACTACATGTAAAACATTGTGTTCTACTTTGCAGTCCATTTGTACTACATGTAAAACATTGTGTTCTAGTTTGTAGTTCATTTGTACAACATGTAAAACAATGGGTTTAGTTTGCAGTACATTTGTACTTCAAGTAAAACAATGTGTTCTTAAGTTTGCAGTACATTTGTACTACAAGTAAAACAATGTGTTCTTATTGGCAGTGCATTTATACTACATGTAAAACAATGTGTTCTTATTGGCAGTGCATTTATACTACATGTAAAACAATGTGTTCTAGTTTGCAGTACATGTATATTACATGTAAAACAATGTTCTTATTTGCAATTCTTTTGCACTACATGTAAAACAATGTGTTCTAGTTTGCAGTACATATACATTACATGTTAAACAATGTATTCAGTTTTAAATACATTTGTACTACTTGTAAAACAATTGTATATCATTCAACCAAAAAGGTTTATGTAGATAGTAAAAGAGGGGAGATAATTTTATAAACCCTTTAAAATTTGTGAAATTAATTCATGAATTTTCATTTCTAAAGGAAGGAAATGTTTTTGTTTATCAATTATGATAGTACTACTGGTATGTGTTTTAAAGTTGCATGATTTTTTTATTTCAGCATTTTTCCTTGATTTCACCAATGAAAAATACCTGCTTTTAAAATGACATTGTACTCTTTTTCATTTCAGAAAAGTACATGTGACAAAGACAACCTTAGATAAACTACACAATAAAGACAAATATGAAATAGAACCTGGAAATGGACAGTCTAGAAGTAGTTACCTAACTGAACATCAAATAGAGACATATCTTATTACCACAAAGATGAAAAAAGTAAATATATAGAATTTGTGCCTTTTCTAGCTCAAATATGGTGCTCTGTTTAATCCTAGAACTCCAATAAATTGATGGGTCTCAGAGTTTGACTAGTGAATTTATATTGCAAAATACATATTCTTTTCTCCAATAGCCAACAATTATTAATAATAGAGCATTTGTTTAGAATGCAAACTTTGGAGAGTTGATTTTCAGTCTGAAACATAAATAGAAAATTGTGGGATCAATATTTTAAGTCCCAAAAATAATGATTCCCTATTGCTTTTCTTTTTCCATTTTTTTGTTGGTTATCTCCCTTGCCTATCAATTCTGCACTTAAAATACATGTCTCATCACAGTTTGGAAAAAACCTCTCAGTTCCTTCATGGCAAAGAAAAATACATTATTTGGCCTTTTGTGTACAGAAGAATCTATAAGGTACTGTGGTGATAAATATCAGGTGCACACAATGACCAATCAGGATTTGGCATACTTGTAATTCTGAATACCATGTTATCTTCTATGGTTTATTCGTTCCTTTACAGATGTGAGTCATATGTTTTTTTTTTATTTCTAAAGGTAAAATTTAGAATGACTAAACATAAATTTCTTTCTTCTTCTTTTCCTTCAGTTTGATGAGAGTAGAAGAATAAGATCTCGGTTTGAAAGCAGTTTGAGAGCTTCACTGAGGGTTACCAAATATTTAGAGCAAAGCTGGAATGTGGACAAACCTTTTGCTAATCTAAGAGTTAGTTCCATGGCAACCAAACTATTAGGTTTAACTGTAAGTACTTGATCTGAACTAAAACTGCATGTTGTGTATCTAGGATATTCTTAAATGTATAATGACCAATGAATCCAGTCTTAAAAAAAATATCAGAAATCATTTGGAAGAATAATGGAAACAGAAAGCTTTTTTTCTTACTCAAAAGTTTGAATTTCAATCATAGGTCACTATAGAAATTTAAAGCAAGTAGATTTAAATCTAACTTACTTAATTTTATATAAAAGAAGAAAATTCTTACATTTTTGTGTCAAGAAGGATCAATCTTTTTGCAAGTTACTTATTTAATTTATGAATATATATATATTTAAGATCATGGAAATGACAAAGGTAATTTTCACTGATTGAGTCACACAAAATAAGTCATATACATATAGTACAATATAAGAAACTACATTTGTTGTGTATTGGTACTAATTTTAAAGTGATAAATAACAAACACACTACAGTTCAGCCTCTCCTGGTGGTACTTTTCTTTATTGAGGGATTATCTTTACATTAAATGTAACTGTTGCTCCATTCTTATTAAAAACTTTGAGCAAGAGTTGCTCAGAGATTAAAAATATTAACAGAATTGATAATTCTTTTGATTAGAGTGTTAAATGTATGTACATTAAAAAAATAATGTCAAATTAGTAATTATTATCAGAAAGATGGAATGACAATGTCATTGTATGTTGATTAAAATTTGAAGAGAAATTGTTCAATAATTGATAGATACATGTATATAGATATTATCAATTTTATTTAAGTCTCTCACAACAATCTCAGAATGTGAGAGTGAGACATATAGATATACTAAATCAATTACAATGGTGTCAACTAATTGATTAAACTTAATAATTCAGAAGGTAGAAGAGCTGAACATTATTATTATTGTGTCACCTGATAGCAAGCATCAAGCTGTTGCTAGTGACACACAGGGTTCACTTCTATCTTCCGTGTTGTAGGTTATGTGACACATTTTATTAATCCTTGAAAATGACAGATTTCAATCAAACTTGCACTAATTCTTCTACATGACATGGAGATGGGTGCCTGCTATAGTAATTTTTAAGGTTTCCCATACCAATACGATGGACTTGTTTGAGCTTGACATTTCTGTACAAAGTTCACTTTTCCCGACTCATCATCAAATGAAATTGCCTACTCCCCTTTTTTTACATTGTTTTAAATAGAGACTTAAAATAGTAAAAAAACAGAGACAAGCAAATCTTGGCTAAAATTGTGCACAGTTAAGTTTATTTATCTTTGAAATGGGAAAATTTTATTTCAAATTTTAAAGTCAGCTGCATTTGATCTAGTAGATATAAATTAATAGCAGTCATTAAAAGTTCTATTTCCTAGTGAACTGTAGTCTGTTTATATTAATACATAGTGGTTGGTCTTGTTTTCTATCATAGACATTATTTTTCTTATCACTGGCTTGATAGTATTCTCCATTATAGATGCACATTTTATTATGACTGTATTCCATTCACAGCTTATACCTGTAAGTGTAAGAAATAAAATAAAACAACATATATATATCTAATAGTCAACCTTTGTTCTTGTTTTGCATTTAACATTTATTTATTGGAGCGGATCAAATCTGATTGGTTTTTTTTACTGTAAATTTGTTGTGGTAAAGTTTTACTAAGAATTATAATTTGTTTATGTCTCAAATGTGAATACCACTGAGGCAGCTCATACAAACTGTTAAATTTTAAACATGCTGATATAAGATTAAATTGAGAATGGAAATGGGGAATATGTCAAAGAGGCAACTCAGAGCATTCCATTTTAAACATGCTGATATAAGAGCATTCCATTTTAAACATGCTGATATAAGAGCATTCCATTTTAAACATGCTGATATAAGAGCATTCCATTTTAATCATACTGATATAAGAGCATTCCATTTTAAACATGCTGATATAAGAGCATTCCATTTTAAACATGCTGATATAAGAGCATTCCATTTTAAACATGCAGATATAAGAGCATTCCATTTTAAACATGCTGATATAAGAGCATTCCATTTTAAACATGCTGATATAAGAGCATTCCATTTTAAACATGCTGATATAAGAGCATTCCATTTTAAACAGAATGATATAAGAACATCATTCCATTTTAAATATGCTGATATAAGAGCATTCCATTTTAAACATGCTGATATAAGAGCATTTTATTTTAAACATGCTGATATAAGAGCATTCCATTTTAAACAGAATGATATAAGAACATCATTCCATTTTAAATATGCTGATATAAGAGCATTCCATTTTAAACATGCTGATATAAGAACATTCCATTTTAAACAGAATGAAATATTAAACTGCCACCAAAAAAAATCATATACAAATTAAGCATTAATTTATTTTCTGTATATTTAAAAAAATGTTTTATAAAGGATATAACAAAAACAAAGATTGACTATGAATTTAACTAACGGAGCATGGATTAATTAAAAATGAAAAATGCATGGGAAGGATAATGTTATCTTTCATAAAAGAAATGAAAGACAAATTTTTAGCTGTGACTAGTATTATATACAGTCTCATGGAAGGTGGGCTTGCTTGTTAGTTACTTAGTATATATGTACTAATTTATTATACTTTAATTCATATAAATACTAACCATTTAACTAACTTTGACTCTTCAGCTATCATCTGTTAGAAATTGTCTTCATCAATGTATTGCTCTATATTAACTTAACTTTTATTTGCTATAATCAACCAATAAAGGGGCATTAGCTACAAGATTTGAAAAAAAAAAAAAAATATGATTCAATTATAAAATGAAAGTGAAATAATAATCGCTTTTAGCAGCCAGTTTGGTTCAGTTTTGTCAAAATAAGTTAAGAAACATTGCTGATGAATTATTCACTTGCAAGTGAATAATTTGACCTCATTGAATCTGTATTCATGTGACCTTCAATTTAACCCCTTAAGCTCGAGATGGGTTATACATGTATTCAGCTATTAAAAGGAAAAGAATGTCAACATTGAAAGTGAAACAAGGATGAACCATTTGGTTGACTGATTCGATCAACAAAAAATCATACTTATACAGAAAAAACAATGTTAAACATATTTTTTAACCTACAATATGAAATCAAACAGATCTAGAAAAATACAATTGCACATGGTCGCTATCTATATATATTTATATTTATGTTTATATTGGGTTATATGACCATCTGCAGTCTTAGGAGATCATCTAGACAAAAATACACACAAATGCTGATACATATTATGCATTGTTAATTGTTTATTTTAGACTTTTTGTAATTTTGATATACGATTTAGTATGTTATAAATCAAATTTGAGAATTTGAGTCAAATCGTGAACATGAATTTGACAGCTAATACTCCTTTAACGATATCAGATGTCTAGTTTATTCTGGCATTTATTTTCATTTAGAAATAAGAAGAGAAATATAAGACATATAATAATATTAATTTCTTTAATATTTTTAAAAGTAAACATATAGGTATTTTGAAGTAAACAGATGTTTAAATCACATGACTCAAGTAAACAGATGTTTAAATCACATGACTCAAGTAAACAGATGTTTAAATCACATGAATTTTTTATATAAAGTAAAAAATAATCAGATTTTCGCTGTGTCATTTTGTTTTTCAACCTTCCCATTTATATATAAGGCCAAGTAAATTTAATTAGTAGATTTTCATCCAAATTTTTGAAAAAAATGGGGCGGGTGGGAGGATTTTATTTTTTATTTTTTATTAGATATGAAACGCTCTTGTGACGTGTTCTTCATATATGCAAGTGTAATAATAAGGTTCTATCATGTATATACATGTATAACGAATCAAACATAAAAAGAAATGCAAAAACCAAAATTTGAAACAGGAAGTTATTAATGAAACGAAATTATCGACAGTTACCGTTAACGAAAATGAACAAAATCCGGAAATCGTAAATTTTTCAAAATAAAAAAAATTGGGGCGGAACGATTTCAGAGGGGCGGGCGGGGATGAAAATCTATCAATTAATTTCAATTGGCCTAAGATCAAATTCAAATTACCTCATGCACCTAGTGATTGTCTATTAAATTAGAGCTTAGATTTTACTTCAAACAAACTAATTACATTTTTGATTTAACTTTATTGAAACTGATTATCAAGCAATACAGAGTACTTTTAATTGAAACTTGTTTGTTTCATCTCACTCACAATAAATTATTGTGTGTACAAGGAAATCTTTTCGAATCATCATGTAATTCAAAGGACTAAATTGTTTACTTCATTATAATTGCAAAGATATATTTACTTCAATAAACTGTTTTGATCTTCTGATTTCGATTCTGATTTATTGATTAAACATAGAGCAAGTGCAATTAAAACTGAGTGCTTTGTCCTTTGGTTAAAACATTTTGGAATGCAGTTTATCATTATTTAGCTTAAAGCATTCTCATGTGAAATGGAGAAATGAAGTTTAGTACAGCATGGATAAAAATTTCTGAACCCAGTTCCAATTTAAATATCTTTTCAAATAAAATGTAATGTTGTAAAATAGATATGTTTTTTTCCAAATTTTATTTGTGAAAGCATTATCTTATATAATTATTTTCAATTGGTATAAAACTGTTTTTAGGAATTTTATGTACAAGCTTGGTTACACATTTGATCATAATTATTGAAGTTATTATAATTAATGTATTTTTACTTAAAAACTAACATTAAATGTATATTGCTTGAAATCTGGGACTAATACATTGAATATTGGTCCCAGCTGAAATTCTCCTGTCAGATATCATTAAAAAACTTTGTTGTTGACACAATACTTTTGAAATGATTCAAGTCAATTTAATTTTTTCTAATTTATGACACAAACGACGTAAAAGTAACAGTTAAAATATAAATTCGATCACAACTTTTAGGGGGAATTTTTGTTAATTAAGATACAAGTAAGTTGACTGAATGTTAGGCTTACTCTATGAGAAAATTGCTGTTGAAAAGGTAATAATATGATGTCAAAGTTACAGAAATATGTCTATTCAAATGAACAATATCATTGACTTTCAAAATTAAAACATTTAGGAGATGTTAATTATAATAGTGACAACTATTTCTGTTTGTAGATTATAATGTGGGTTTTTTCTTCTTCTTCAGAGCCTAGCATTTTTGGATTCCAAATTAGTATACAACTCTATGTCTGAGGATAAAAGGTATTTTTATTTGCTTTTGTGCATTCTAACTACAGAAATAAAAAAAAATATACTAAAGGAAACAAGTAGCTTTGAACATTATCATAAATTGAAGTTGCTTGACCTTGGAAATGTACACTGTCTTCTTGTTTCTAAATTGAGTTGATCACATAATGGTGAACACAATAGATTTTTACCTGTATATAAATGCTTACCTTGATATAAAACTAACAGGACTGATAGAGAGACTAACTGGAACACGAAAAATACAAATACAAACTTGGACAGGAGGGATAGAAATACAAACTGGAACACAAGTAATACAAATACAAAGTGGAACACAAGTAATACAAATACAATCTTGAACAGGAGGGATAGAAATACTAACCGGAACACGAGAAATACAAATACAAACTGGAACACAAGTAATACAAATACAAACTGGAACACAAGTAATACAAATACAAACTGGAACACGAGTAATACAAATACAAACTGGAACACAAGTAATACAAATACAATCTTGAACAGGAGGGATAGAAATCCTAACCGGAACACGAGAAATACAAATACAAACTGGAACACAAGTAATACAAATACAAACTGGAACACAAGTAATACAAATACAAACTGGAACACGAGTAATACAAATACAAAGAGTAATACAAATACAAACTGGAACACAAGTAATACAAATACAATCTTGGACAGGAGGGATAGAAATACTAACTGGAACACGAGTAATACAAATACAAACTGGAACACAAGTAATACAAATACAATCTTGGACAGGAGGGATAGAAATACTAACTGGAACACGAGTAATACAAATACAAACAGGAACACAAGTAATACAAATACAGGCTTGGACAGGAGGGATAGAAATACTAACTGGAACACAAGTAATAGAAATACAAGCTTGGACAGGGGGGATAGAAATACAAACTGGGACAGGGGAGAAAGAATTAAAGACAAACCGGAACACAAGTAATAGAAATAAACTTGGACAGGGTTGATAGGAAGACTAACTGGAACACAAGTAATCAAACTTGGACAGGAGGGATAGAAAGACAAACCATAACAGGAGTGATAGAAAGACTAACTGGAACAGGAGCCCTAGAAAGACAGCCTTGAACAGAAGAGATAGAAAGAAAAACTTGAACAAGTGTGATATGAGTGATAAAAATGACAAAACTTGATAAAGGAGTGATAGAAGGACAAAGCTTGATAAAGGAGTGATAGAGATACAAAACTTGATAAGGAGTGATAGAAAGACAAAACTTGATAAGGAGTGACAGAAAGACAAAACTTGATAAGGAGTGATAGACAAAACTTGATAAGGAGTGATAGAAAGACAAAACTTGATAAGGAGTGAAAGAAAAACAAAACTTGATAAGGGGTGATAGACAAAACTTGATAAGGAGTGATAGACAAAACTTGATGAGGAGTGATAGAACGACAAAACTTGATAAGGAGTGACAGAAAGACAAAACTTGATAAGGAGTGATAGAAAGACAAAACTTGATAAGGAGTGACAGAAAGACAAAACTTGATAAGGAGTAATAGACAAAACTTGATAAGAAGTGATAGACTAAACTTGATAAGGAGTGATAGAAAGACAAAACTTGATAAGGAGTGGCAGAAAGACAAAACTTGATAAGGAGTGGCAGAAAGACAAAACTTAATAAGGAGTGATAGAAAGACAAAACTTGACAACGAGTGATAGACTAAACTTGATAAGGAGTGATAGAAAGACAAAACTTGATAAGGAGTGACAGAAAGACAAAACTTGATAAGGATTGAGACAAAACTTGATAAGGAGTGATAGAAAGACAAAACTTGCTAAGGAGTGACAGAAAGACAAAACTTGATAAGGAGTGACAGAAAGACAAAACTTGATAAGGAGTGATAGAAAGACAAAACTTGATAAGGAGTGACAGAAAGACAAAACTTGATAAGGAGTGATAGACTAAACTTGATAAGGAGTGATAGAAAGACAAAACTTGATAAGGAGTGACAGAAAGACAAAACTTGATAAGGAGTGACAGAAAGACAAAACTTGATAAGGAGTGATGGACAAAACTTGATAAGGAGTGATAGAAAGACAAAACTTGTTAAGGAGTGACAGAAAGACAAAACTTGATAAGGAGTGACAGAAAGACAAAACTTGATAAGGAGTGATAGACAAAACTTGATAAGAAGTTATAGACTAAACTTGATAAGGAGTGATAGAAAGACAAAATTTGATAAGGAGTGACAGAAAGACAAAACTTGATAAGGAGTGAGACAAAACTTGATAAGGAGTGATAGAAAGACAAAACTTGATAACGAGTGATAGACTAAACTTGATAAGGAGTGATAGAAAGACAAAACTTGATAAGGAGTGAGACAAAACTTGATAAGGAGTGATAGAAAGACAAAACTTGATAAGGAGTGATAGACTAAACTTGATAAGGAGTGATAGAAAGACAAAACTTGATAAGGAGTGACAGAAAGACAAAACTTGATAAGGAGTGACAGAAAGACGAAACTTGATAAGGAGTGATAGAAAGACAAAACTTGATAAGGAGTGATGGACAAAACTTGATAAGAAGTGATAGACTAAACTTGATAAGGAGTGATAGAAAGACAAAACTTGATAAGGAGTGGCAGAAAGACAAAACTTGATAAGGAGTGGCAGAAAGACAAAACTTAATAAGGAGTGATAGAAAGACAAAACTTGACAACGAGTGATAGACTAAACTTGATAAGGAGTGATAGAAAGACAAAACTTGATAAGGAGTGACAGAAAGACAAAACTTGATAAGGATTGAGACAAAACTTGATAAGGAGTGATAGAAAGACAAAACTTGCTAAGGAGTGACAGAAAGACAAAACTTGATAAGGAGTGACAGAAAGACAAAACTTGATAAGGAGTGATAGAAAGACAAAACTTGATAAGGAGTGACAGAAAGACAAAACTTGATAAGGAGTGATAGACTAAACTTGATAAGGAGTGATAGAAAGACAAAACTTGATAAGGAGTGACAGAAAGACAAAACTTGATAAGGAGTGACAGAAAGACAAAACTTGATAAGGAGTGATGGACAAAACTTGATAAGGAGTGATAGAAAGACAAAACTTGTTAAGGAGTGACAGAAAGACAAAACTTGATAAGGAGTGACAGAAAGACAAAACTTGATAAGGAGTGATAGACAAAACTTGATAAGAAGTTATAGACTAAACTCGATAAGGAGTGATAGAAAGACAAAATTTGATAAGGAGTGACAGAAAGACAAAACTTGATAAGGAGTGAGACAAAACTTGATAAGGAGTGATAGAAAGACAAAACTTGATAACGAGTGATAGACTAAACTTGATAAGGAGTGATAGAAAGACAAAACTTGATAAGGAGTGAGACAAAACTTGATAAGGAGTGATAGAAAGACAAAACTTGATAAGGAGTGATAGACTAAACTTGATAAGGAGTGATAGAAAGACAAAACTTGATAAGGAGTGACAGAAAGACAAAACTTGATAAGGAGTGACAGAAAGACGAAACTTGATAAGGAGTGATAGAAAGACAAAACTTGATAAGGAGTGATGGACAAAACTTGATAAGGAGTGATAGAAAGACAAAACTTGTTAAGGAGTGATAGAAAGACCAAACTTGATAAGGAGTGATAGACAAAACTTGAAAAGGAGTGAAAGACAAAACTTAATAAGGAGTGACAGAAAGACAAAACTTTATAAGGAGTGATAGACAAAACTTGATAAGGAGTGATAGAAAGACAAAACTTGATAAGGAGGGATAGAAAGACAAACTTGAACAGTATGATTTCCTTATTTGAATAGCATGAAAATAAGAAGATGCTTCATGATTGCAAATGAAATAAATATCCACCAAGGACCAAATGACAGGATGTTAACAACTACAGGTTATGGACAACCTTCAGCAATGAGCAAAGTTAGCCAACTGAAATTATTTTGGATTTGTTACAGCAAAACATTGATTTTGCCATATAAACCTTAGACCATATCTAATTAAAACTTTCTTGGATTGTCCATTACATAATTACACAGTGAACTTTATATTTTATTTTAAATCAAAATGACATGGAGGATTCCTATAGGAACCATTGATTTTGTGTGAAAAATTGATGCAAACCTATTGTACTATTGAAATACAATGAAATGGTAAATGCACAAGCAAATTGTATTAAATAAAAGAAGAATGTGTCTGAGGACACGAATGCTCCCGCTCATGCTTTGCAATTTTCCAAGTTAAAAAGGGGCATACCACTATATTGTTAAGTGACTCACTGCCCAAATTCGAACTCTGTCTGTGTGTTGTTGTTCTTAGCATTGTGTATGTGTTTCATGAGATTTGGATGAGTAAAACTTAAGTTAGAGTGCAAAATGGGATGGATGGAAAGACAGAAAGACAGACGGTCAAGGGTAACACTTAATGCCCCTTTTGCCTTGTGCAAAAAGCAGAAACTTTGTACTTTGCTAAAAGGGTTTAACAGAAATAAATTCTGCAAAAATATTTCAGCATTGCAGCCATTAATGACCAGTTGAATGCAGAAGTAAACGAAGACCTTGCCAGAAAATCAAAAGATTTAGGCAGAAGATAGTAAGTGGTATTTTTATGTTGAATCTTGTCATTTTACTTAACTACTAAAAACTGTTCACAATCACTTCTCACTGTTTATCGACATATTTGTCATAATGCAAATTCAAAGTATACAAATTTTTAGTGTTTTTGAAATATACCAATAAAATGCATCTTCTGTATATTAACTGTACACAAAAATAAAAAAATAACACTTGAAAATAAATATAAGGATCTAAAGAAATAAGCTATAATAGAATAAATCTTGTAGCATTAGTTTAGAGTAATATCATGTACCAGTTCTATTATTTGTTAGCATGTAAAACAGATTCTACTGGCTATTACTGCAAATTTCTGTTTTCAATAAATTTAATAGACCAAAAAATTTTGTTGTTGCACAAAGTGAGATTCAATTATCCATTGTAATCCCTGAATAATTTAAAACAATAACATTTCTTTGTTGGAATTAATCATCCTCACTAAAAAGCAATTGAATTATGTCCCTTGAGTATTCATATTTCTCTCTTATTTACAACAACTAATTACTATTGCCATTTACTGTTAATGAAATAGACAATGGATTGACAAACAGATGTGTAGGATCCCGATAGGTTTTGAAATTTGGTTTCTAAACTTTTTTTTTGGAATATGAATTTCATTTTGTTATTTGAATTATAATTGTTTATCCATCCTCTGAATGAAATGTTGTGTTGATTTTTTACTTTTGGTTTGTCAATCTAAAAACCTTAGATAGAGTTTGTTTCTAGCTGATTAATCATTAAACGGGTCATGTGAGCTTTTATCATCACTTGTGTCCAGCATCTAACCTCCATCATTTAATATTAATACAAATGGAACATTAACTTTTCATCCTATGAGGGACTTGTTTGAAGACTTTAATCATTACATGTGAGTCTAGCCGCTAGCTAGAATCCATTATTTATCATTTTCAAATTCCCCCAGTAATGTCAAAGTGAAAGAAGAAGTAGAATTATGGAGTGTTTACAGATCCTTGTAAGAGGAGCATGAACACAGGCTCTGTATTTTAATCAGATTGGGAAGGTCCATATGAAAGTGCATATACTTTTATATTCCTGTTAGCCTGGTTTTTCTCCTGATCATAAGTTTTCTTCACCTATTAAACTGACATTGATCATGATTGTGTAACACAAAACTCCAGAAACATGTACTGTGTGCACATATAGTTATTATATCATATGTTTTTCTCCACAAATATGAATATGAAACTTTGAATATTTAGCAATAATATCAATAATGTGGTAACGGGTCAATTTGGGTTAATTATTATAATTACTATGGCCATGAAAAACCATTAACAATACCCTTGGAAGCTCATTAGATAGCAATTGTCTCCTATTATTTAGATAGTTATCACATGTAATCATGTCATGTATAATAACTGTCTATATGTATGATAAAACATTGTCATTTAATGCAGTAATTATACATAGTACAAAACAAACAAACAGCCAAAGATAATTAGATAGATTTGCAGGAAATCTTTTTTTTTCAGTCCCACACATTGAAAATTGGCAGATTATTCAGCAATTTTTATCCTCAGGCTTTTGTAAAGATTATCACTGGTAATAATGAAGTAAAATATGGGTACAGTGTCGCTAAATACACAGCAAATTAATTGTTTAACAACTTAAAAAAAAAGATACAAATGTTAGAAAAACCACCAAATAGAGGAGCGGAAGGACCATTTTCAGGAAGTCTTGATTGGGTTTTTATTTTGTGGGAATTCCAGATTACTCGGGAATTTATGATTAATTTTTCAGTAGTCTGGAAAGAAAGCTTTATTTTTTCATGAATTTTGGATGACCCTCCCATCCCAATAGCATACTATCATTATTGTCCCCTGCGCAACACGTTGCAGGGGACATAGAAATACCGGGTGTCTTTCGGGGACATAGAACTACTGGGTGTCCGTCCGTCCAGTCTTGTTAGCGCTCTCACGTGTACAATTCTTGCCAGATTTTTATGTAACTTATATCATAGGTTTCTATCAGCAATGTTTTGGACGAGTTCAAAAATCAATGGCGATCAATTGTTTTTAAAAGTGTTATGTCCTTTAGAAACATTAATTATATGGAAAATTGCATTGTTAGCACTCTTGTTTGTACAATTCTTGCCAGATTTTTATGAAACTTAAATCATAGGTTTATATCAGCAATGTCTTTAAAGAGATTGAAAATTTGTGCCGGTCAGTTATTTTTAAAAGAGTTATGCCCCTTGGAAACATTAATTAAATGGAAAATTTGCATCGTTAGCGCTCTAATTTGTACAATTCTTGTTAGATTTTTATGATTTCAGAAACTTATATCATAGGTTTATATTAGCAATGTCTTGAACGAGGTCGAAAATCAATGCCGATCAATTATTTTAAAAGAGTTATGCCCCTTGGAAACATTAATAATTTGGAAAATTGCATTGTTAACACTCTCATGTGTACAATTCTTGCCAGATTTTTATGAAACTTATATCATAGGTTTATATCAGCAATGTCTTTAAAGAGTTTGAAAATCAGTGCTGATCAATTATTTTATAAAGAGTTATGTCCCTTGGAAACATTGATTATATGGAAAATTGCATTGTAAGTGCTCCCGCATATACAATTTTTGCCAGATATTTATCAAATTCATATCAAAGGTATATAACAGCAATGTCTTGGACAATTTCCAAAATAAGTGCCAATTAAATATTTTAGATGAGTTTCCCTTGGAAATATTAAATATATCGGAAATTACTCTCAAGTCTTCAACTCTCTAGTTAGATCATTTTAAAAAGTTTTAAAGAACAAAAAAACATTTTTTTCAGTTATTGTCCTTTGACAAAACAGATAAAATATGTGCGATGTGGGGACATTGGAACTGTGTGCTTTTATCTTATATAATTTTATTTTCAGCTCATGGAGGAAAACGAAGGAATTTGATTCAGTTCTATTGAGATTTTACGACGAATTAGAAGAAGACTACCTCCAGCGTCCTGACCCATCATTTAAAATTAGTGTTATTTTTGCTTTCTGTATATTTGTTGGTATCCTAGTTGTCCAAGCCATTATATCAGATAGGTAAATCTTAAAGATGTAGAGACCTTTTTCTTATTCTATTATCATTATAACCAAAGTCCTTGTGCAGTAGCACTAAATGGACTATTAGCTTCAACCTTAGAATCTTTGTTATATATTTAAAAAGTAGCACTAAAGTGGCTTACTAGATTTTGTTAGGTAGAATTTAGAATTATCCAATTTCAAAAATATAAAATAGTGCGACTGTCATACAAGTTATCTTAAGGACTTTTCTTTTTGAATTTTCCTAAGAATTTCAGTATTTTTGCTATTTTACTTTTTGTTATCTTTAACAATAGTAGATATGTTATATTTTTACATGATAGACTCTCTTTTTTTGTTTATGCTGAATTAAAATGATAACAACATAATAAGATTGCTATGACGCACAAGTGTTTTAACTTGCAAAATTATATACAATGCTAAAAGAAAGGATATACTTTATCTGGCCCGAGAACACAGTTATTTCGTAGTGCATTTCTTTTAGATAAAAAACGCAAATTAAAAAAATCGCACCTGCTCTATCCATAAAAGAAGTTTACAGTGTAGTGTTCTACTTTTGGGAAAAATTCTATCAAAATTATCGGCTCCAACTCAAAATATGGATAATTTTATGTTAAGGGGGTCTGTAAATTCAGTTTGACAGCTTCAGACATACTAATTTTTGACCTTTTCAAACTGGACCAAATCACTACTACTTTACCTAAAAATTCATGCCCCAAATTTTTTTTACTTGTAATTTCATCCCCCAACTTACTATTTTATGCATGAAATATAAAGAAGTAAATTTGTATGAAAAAAATTTGCAAGTTATACAGTGTATAATATACATTGTCCACACTAGGGACTCTATTTGTAGACAACAGAAATCAAAGGACGATAATAACTGTGTCCCCGGACCATCTGTAACATTTCTCAAATCTCAAAGGAATGAACTATTTGGTATATGTTAGTTTAAGGGAAATACAATTTTAAATCATTCCAAGTTGCAAGAGATCCTGAAATTGAGATTGACTAACAGAATATTTATGCTTTAGATAAACCTGAATAAAAAGATTTTCCAGGATAATTTGTCCATGTACATTACAACCAGGGAATCCAGTACTTTATTTGTCCCTGTTCTGTACATTACAACCAGGGAATCCAGTACTTTATTTGTCCCTGTTCTGTACATTACAACCAGGGAATCCAGTACTTTATTTGTCCCTGTTCTGTACATTACAACCATTTTATGAAACTTATACACAATGCTTATTACCACAAAACTCAGATCAAGTACAAATTTGGGTAGCGTCACTTTTACCGTTCTTCAGTTATGTCCCTTTATATCTTTATATGATATGCAAGCGGGGGCATCATCTGTGTCCCCTGGACACATTCCACATTTATTGTAGATATTTTACAAAGAATAATTTTGTATTTTCAGAGGCACTCCCTATTTTTCCTCCTTATCTATTGGGATAGGAGTATTTGCTATAACAACTGTGATATGTTTTCTTAGAGAAAGTCTGGTAAGCTTATTTATTTATTCATTCTGACCTGTTTTATGTTTAGTGGAAAGATACTCCATGCAAATAACTTGCCAATACAGCTAAACAAAATTTGAAATTGAAATAGTGATTTAAAATTAAAAACAATTTATTTTTTGGTAACTAATTGAGTTTAAGCTATTTCTTGGAGTTCTGTATTTTTGTTATTTTCTTTTTTTTTTCAAATTTTCAAGATTAATACAGATTAACTTTTGTGTCAATTACCCTTTTTTAAGTGAAGAATAATGGTGATCTACTAGTCCTCCATTGAATCAATTATTTGCCACTTAAGGCAAAGGTACCCCTAAATGTTATTCATTTTGCAAAAACCGTAAACACACTATACAAATCTTGCTATAATAAGTTATCTGGTTCAGTGCTTTAACAATAAAACCATTTTTGTCTCCCCTGCGACAACGAGACATAGGAATTGCTTTTCCCCGGACTACCATGACAATGACAGCGTCAACAATTGTTAAGTTTTATGCTTAAGTTAATTTGATAGGAAATACTTGTGATAGACCAATGATATTTAGTATGAAGTTAAAATTAAGAATGGAAATGGGGAATATGTCAAAGAGACAACAACCCGACCAAAGAGCAAACAACATCCGAAGGCCACCAATGGGTCTTCAACGCAGCATTACTATCAGTTCATATCAGTTTGACGACTATTTTGAGGCCCTGACCCCTTGGTCATGGTCAAGTGACTTTTAATTAATTAGCGATTTTCAATGTTAAGTTTTCTGCTTAAATCAGTTTGATAGGAACTACTTGTGATAGACCAATGATATTTTGTATGAAGTTGCATTACTATCAGTACATGTCAGTTTGACGACTATTTTGAGGCCCTGACCCCTATGTCATGGTCAAGTGACTTTGAATTAGTTAACAATTTTCAATGTTAAGTTTTCTGCGTTAGTTTGATAGAACTACTTACAATAGATATTTATATTTTCTATAAAGTTACATTACAGTCCGTACAACTCAGTTTGTTGACCATTTCGAGGCCCTGCCCACTATTTCATGGTCCAGTGACTTTGAATTAATAAGCAATGTTGGTGTCCATCTGATTGTCTTTTTTCTGAATTTTATGCCGACATGCAAGATATCTCTGTGTCAACACTTTATTAAATATTTGAAGTAACTAATACAGGAGCAACCATATTTATGCATTATACCTCACAATCTGTCTTGGTTTTTTTTTCAGAATTCCACCTGTGTGAATGGTGTACATTTTAGTCCTAGAGTAAGAATTGTTCTAGCCTTTTTATGTATATCAGTTACATGTACAGCTGTATTAGTATCCATGGTGAGTATAACTTATTATATTACACAATTTTTTGTATTCAATGCTTAAGTGGCTGAGGTGTATAAAGAGTTCTAAGTCACCTTTCCATACTGTTTGTATTGAGCTTACTTGATGAAAGTTATCTCCTGAAATACATGTACATATCATTTTGGACTATTAAATATCTTTTAGTCCCAGACATCATATAGAAATCTGTTTCATAAATTTTTTGACATACATATAAAAAAAATAGAATGGAAACTCTAAAGGTGGCAAAAAATGTATTTAAATGTTAATGATACTGTGTCTTAGCTTGTCATGGCACATATAAGCACCATTCTGGACAATGTGATAGTAAGTGTGACTACACTGGTCATTATTCTTTAACAATGGTAGAACATTTTTTACCTTCAAATTTCTCTAGCTTTATTGAATATAAATCTACAAATAAAGCCTTCTGTGAACCAACAAATTTTTTGAAAATTTTTTAACAGATATATTGATATTCATTTGCACAAAGTCAATTTCTATCCAACGCAGCTCATATCAAGAAAATTAGAAGATGGCAAAAATAAATCGCAGCAAAGTTGACAAGAACATAACATGAAATACAGTATGCATGAAAATAAGTGGGTTTACAATATTTGTGTTTTGAAGTATGAACATTTTTTATAGACTGTCTGTGATCAACAAATCCCTATCAATGTAAATACTACAGATAATTCATCAAAAAAGACTATATTAGCTGATAATGGTACTGACCAATCAAATACAACACAAACAGGAAGTCAGACAGATTGTAACAGACCTGTTGTAAGTTTTACAAATATTTGTACTTTTTGTAAAATAACTGAGAAACTGATATAAGTGAGATTTTGTCTCATCATTTTATTTTCGGTAAACCGATAAGATGATATGTGGTTTTCGTTGAAAGTGTTCACAAGTCTGAAGACATATTCACGTTCTGTACAGGTTAATGGGATACTAAATTTAAAAGTTTTGCAATTCCTGAATACATAAAGTCATTTCTGTTCAATTTTTTTCTTGAATTCTCATATGTATTGGAGATTTTTTGTGCGTTCTTTTATTTCCTTAATTGTTCAAGTTTGTGGTGTTGTACTTTTGATAACCTGACTGTATGGGTTTTGGGCTGTGTTGCATATAGTATGGTGATGTCGGTTGTCTGGGCAGAGAAAAAATATTGTTTATTTCTGTTGAATACCCTTTTATTGAAATTGTTTTCATTCACAATATTAGAAGAAAACGTTTTAATTCACGTTACTTCAGGTATTCAGATAGATAAATGGTAGAGCTCATTGAAACTTGTAGAAGAAATAAAAACAAAAGATTCATTCATTAGAAAACCCAAATATCAATGAAATCTCTAACTTTGTGTGATTTTCCAGTTTAGAAAATGTTGTCTGTTAATCTCACTTATTGTTTTGTTGACAAAACACATGTCTTGAGTATCAAGTTATAAGCCTTGTTGACAAAACACATGTCTTGAGTATCAAGTTATAAGCCTTGTTGACAAAACACATGTCTTGAGTATCAATTTATAAGTATCTTGGACAAGTTTTTACACAGTCTTACCACATGATTTGTATTGTACTATTGCTTACACCACACCTAACTAGAGTTTATTTTATAAGTTTAACCCCTTTGAATTCCGTTTGACCATCGCACATGTACTAACTCTCTTTTCATATATTTTCAGTATTTTGTATTATGCAGTTTACTTGCTCTAGCATCCAGTAGTGTGTTTCTACAGATGAATTACATTGTCAAGCTTGTGTATATGTGTCTTGCCATGATAGCCTTTAATGTGACCTTTTATGTACATCCAGAGTTCAAACAATCAAAGTAAGTGGGAAAGGTGGTTTATGGAGTCATCTGACCATTGCTGGTGACCATGGGAGGGTCTATTTTGTTTCATTGTACTTGCATTAAAATACATCCCTTTAGATGACAAAATTAAGTGGACTTTTATATTTATGGAATTTAGAAAAAAAGCAAATTGGAGAATTTTTCTTTAGAAAATCTGTTGTTATTTATAACTTTGTTATAATCTATGATTTCCTTCTGGTCTTTGTATATTTTATACATCTGTTAAAGATGGATGTGTTATGGATTAATCATTTTTTTTGCTGTCTGTTATTTTGTCCAAGCACAGACCTCGCGTTAGCTCCAGTTTTCTAGATTTATCCTTGTAAAATTTTACATAATTTTAAGATCTGTGAAGACAAGCATAATTATTGAACTTTGTGTAACTTTTTCACATGTCTGATGATCTATTTATGGTTTGATTTTACTAAACCTTATGAATTTTTTACATTATATATGTTTCCATTTTGATTTTTTTTCAATATTGTTGTAGAATTCACTAACACTTTATATTTTTTTAAAAGTCATACAATTTTATATAAATTTTGCTATTTCATCCATAATTTTTAAATTTTCAGATGATGTAAATATTAATACATATTTCATTTATTACAGTGACAATAGTATGTTAACTGAAGCTATAGCTGGTTCTGTCTACTTAGCTGTACTATTTATAACATTGGTGTTTCTAGATAGACAGGTATGTATAGGTCCAATATTTCTCTAAGTTATAAAGATGATTTATAGTTTATTGATATATGTGACTATTTAGTGGTACATGGGTTACTTTTGATTATTTAAATGCCTTCAAAAATGTGAATTTAAACTGTTGCAAATGGGAAACAAATATGATCTCCTTCTTGAAATATTAGTTCTAAAGAAGTCTAGGGGAAATAACTCTATGTGATTATGATTCATATTATAAGTCATCTTTTAAAGTTATTATATATAAATTTTGAAAGCTTTACAAAAACAAATTCATGAATTGATAATATAATACATACTGAAAAAAACATTATAAAACCATTCCTCAGAATTTGTTTTCTTCAGAAAGAGAGTTCATATAACATGTGAAGTATTTTAATTTTTAAGATTTACAATTGCTTAAAATTGGTTAGAATAATTTTTTAGTGTCATTATGAATTTTTTTTATCTTATTTTGAATTAAAGGTTGAATATACCAACAGACTTGATTTCGTATGGAGTGAACAATGTATGAATGAGAAGAAAGAATTACAAGAAACCTCAGCACTTAATGAAAAACTTCTACAAAATATATTACCCAAACACGTGGCAGACTATTTCCTGAAATCCTCTAAGGCACATGATGTATGTATGAAACTTATTTTTATCTAATCTAGAGAAATGGAAAAGGTTTTATAACATTGGTTTTATTTTTTATTTTTATTGTGAATATTTATTTGGTTATGGTTTAAAACAATTTTAAGAAAAATTTAGTCTTCCTGGGTTATTTTATTTATGTGAGTAAATTAAGATACTTATTTTGGGGTTTTTGTCTTGCCTCCAGGAAGTGGTAGAGGAAAGACTTGGGCATGTTGTTTGAAACTTTGAAACTTTGACATAGTTTACATGCTTAAGTTTGTGATTAGGTCAGTTTAAGGGGAACCACTAATGGTAAGTCCACAATAATTGGTATGCAATTGTTTTAGCATTGGCACATCTCATTTTGTCAAGAATATATTTTTTTCTTAAAATTTTAAACATTTTAACATAAAACTCCATGAAAAAGATATTCTATTAACTCTTTTTCAAGAGAGTTTGACCTTTCACAATACCAATAGGCCAAAAAAACTTTTTCAAGTTGCAATTTGAATGGTCTTATACAATCTGATCAACTGGTGAAAAAATTCATTGCTTCAGAAAGGTTATTGTTAGAAGGTGTTGTGTAATACTTTACTCTTAGAATGAAAGAGGTTTTCCAAGGCACTTCCCCTTTGAATTGGCTGTCATACAACTGTACAGAAAGTGTCATTAAACCCTTTAAAACTATCAAAAAAAGAATTAGGAGGATTATTGTGAAACTGACTTTTCAAACAAAACATACGATAACAAAATTTTGAATGCTGTGTGTGAAATGAAATCAAAGAAATATGCCCTGTAATTTAGATTTTAGCAGAATTCTTTTGAAAGCAGTCAACTGTAGGAAATTAACAATTTGATCCTGAAATTCAATTTTTGTTTCTCATAAAAATGTTTTTATTTAATAGTTATGTTACAAAATATATTTGCTGTAGAAGACAATGAATTATTTTTTTTTTGTACACAATATTACTGTGATGCCATCAAACTGTACATTTTGTCAATAAAGATGAAATGCTTCTGGTACTTGGCATTTGTTCCTTGCAAGGGCCCTTATCCAACCTCCTACTTTTCAGCAAAAATTAAATATACAGGACAGAATTGCTGAAAGTCGTCGTGTACAAGTAAGTTTTGATTGACATCTTGCTGTTAGATCTAGTCCTGTCACATGTACAAGTAAAAAAGAATGTTGTCTCGTTATTCCAGTTTAAAATACTTATCTAAAAAAGAGTAAATGAATTCCTTTGTAAAGTTTAGAGTTGAACTAGTGAAAGCAATTGTAAAAGAATTTTAACATGGCAGTTTAAGCACTGACTATCAAAGGAAAGTTTATTTATTTACTCCTTGTTTGTTAGTTTAGATGTTGTTATTGCATGCTAAAGTGTTATGTTTTCATGAACATAACTTACATTAAATGTTCAGTAATAATTTTTTATCTTTGCGTCCTGAATCATTATGTATATCTAGTTGCCACTTTATTTGTTGGTCATTGTATGTAAGTCCAGTCAAAACAAATGATTTGAGGATGACACAATTTAGGCAAATTTGATGGAGTCTGGATGATGACTTCAGGAAAGCCTTGATATTTTGAGAAATTAATTTACACCATAACATTACATGAAGCATGATTTTCAAGATAGTTGCTTCTAATGTTCAGGAGTTATAACCCTTGAAAAACCTCAAAAATTAGTAAAAAAATGAGTCTCTAGAAAGTGATTTGTGTGTGCTTTCTAGTCTTGATGTCTATAGAATTACTTAAAACTATAAATTTTGTTGCAGCTTCATTTTCAATATATATATTTATTCTTTCTGGAGTATTCACTCTAAAAAATTGATATTATTTAAAATTTATTTTTTGTATTAAGAAAAAACCTGGAAATTTTTTAATTATGCTACTCATAATCATTTTTAGATTTGCTGATCTTGCTGTTATGCAATTTATTCATTGTTGGTAACACATGATATTACATGCATCTTGTCTAATTGTTTTGGGATTTTCACACTCACTTTTACTTTTATAAATATGATTGTAATATTTTGAATATTAAACTTTGTTCACCATTTTTGTACCCTGTATGCCATAGTATTGGGGCATTACGTTTTCTATCGGTTTGTCGGTCCCATATCAGGTTAAAGTTTTAGTTTCAGGTAGTTTACCATGAAGTTGTGATCACATGATCTTGAAACTTAGTATACATATATTCATTATGATGTGAACATTTAGAAATTACAGGTACATGCTAAATTAGGGTTTTTGACCCTGATTTAAGGTTAGATATGTAGGACTCAAATCCATGGCGGTTTTCGGATCTATGGTATGATGCCATGCCATCCCAAATCTATGGCAAATTTTCTAGTTTCCTAGCCTTTGATGAAATCTTTGACATAGGAATTGAATATCTTTATCCAATGTGTGGCATACTATATTGTGGCTGACTTATATCAATTATTATAACTATAATTATTAAAACTAATAATATAAGTGATCATAAGTATTGTTCACATTTTCCTCTTATAGCCATCATAACTTCCAAGGGGAGACATGTATTTAAATGACTAGAACAATTCATTAATGATTTAGATTGACATGTTCAACTGTTTTCCTGAAATGAAAAATGAGACAATTGACACTAACAACTGAAATAATGCACACATTCTTTCAAATGGTCAATTCTGATTGATTTTATCAACAGGTGGTTTTCAGATGTTGAAATCAAAATTGCTCATTAATTTAAGGTCATGACAGTTGAGTTAAGATTTTTCATAAGATGAAATAGGATTGATGCTTACAAATGTTTAATTAGCTCCAGCTACATCTAGTTGAAATTCAAATTGAGTTGATAAGTTGAAGGTTAATTGATTTTTATGGTTTTTATTGTTATAATCTGATGAGCTGATGAATGGTATCAGTGATACTGGTTTGGATAAGTTATAAATTAAACAAATTACTTATGGTAAAGATACAAAAAATCTGTTTTTCAAAAAAAATAAAACAATTTAGATTCAAACAATCTTCAGATGTGCATATCCACAATTAATGCCTCTTCAGTAATGCTCGTCTAAGACCAAAATATTTGAAAATTTAATACAAACATTTGGAAGGGTTATTTAACAAGCAGAACTCCCTGCACTCTATTTGAGGGCTTAAGTCTGATTGTAAATTAAGGAATGTTTACTCATTAAGCTGTTTAAGGGCATCTGATACAGTTTCAAGGGAGTTAACTCTTGGCGCGACATTAAGCATGCAAATTCCCGCCAAACGTCACTTTTTGGGGGACTTCATGCGTGTAATTTTTCCTAATGAGAACAATAATTTGTATAATCAATGCTCCAATTTATGTTTCTCACACATATTAACTTCTACACCCTTAAGATTAGTGCATTTGATTCTAACGGGATAAAAGTCTAATAAAATGATAAGAAATTAAACACATATTACTGTTTCTGCTGTTCCTTGTTTTGAAGCTTCTGTGAGATCTTTAACAAAATATCGTATAGTGAGCAATCTCAAGACGACTGACCCTCTTGGTGTTACTAATATAATGCATGTCAATTATCATTTTTATTATCATTCATCATCATCCATGATCGAATTTTGATTTGGATCCGATTTTCTGACATTTTCTGACCTTTTATGACAGCACAGAAAAGCAATATCAAATTGTGTCAATGATCTTTAAAATCAAATACTGAAAGTTCAGGTAGCGCAAACACAGTTTTAATCATTGTTATCTCTTATATAAAACACATCAACACTTCAAAAGAAACAATTTTCTAATGGAATATTTTATTCCATTTATTAAAGTGAAATATGAAAGTACGCGGTAATAATGGTATGGCGCCAATATCAATGATGATACAACTTTTAATAAAAGAACAGAGTTCCAATGTCACCCTCGTTGCACATATTTTATTTATCCAAGGGCAATAACTAAAAAAAAATGTTTTGTTATTTAAAACTTTTTACAAATATCTTAGAGAAATGAAGGATTGAGAGCAAATACAATGCAATTTCCTATATATTTAATATTTCCTAGGGGCATAACTCTTTTAAAAATAGTTGGTCGGCACTGATTTTCGAACTTGTCCCTATGATATAAGTTTTATAAAAATCTGGCAAGAATTGTACACGTGAGAGAGATAACAAGACCGGACGGACAGGCGGACATGCGGTATTTCTATGTCCCCCGCAACGCGTCGCGCAGGGGACAAAAATATATATAGTTATTTACCATCGAAATTACACTTTAAGGATACTATTTTTATTTTAATTTCAACTTTTACAAAAAAACAAAACAAAAAACGCATGAAATACTGGTTATTTCGAGAGAAAGTATGTCAATATAATATTGCAAAACCATAAAGAGGTAGGGCCAGTTTTCCATATATTTATTACACACTGATGGCCTTTTTTTTAAGGTTTTTGTATCTGTGCAAAAATCATCACAGCTGTACTTTGTGGTTTCTACAACATCATGTGTTATTTCTGAATGTTTACTAACCAGATTATAAATGATTTAAGTGACTTGCTTTAAAATCCTAATTTCGGATGGTATATGTTGAAATTTGGTAGAGTAATAAAAAGGACCAAAACCAAGGTTATTGGGGATGTATAGGTAACATGCCCAGTCTTCCAGATATCAATTCAATCGTTTTTGCCAAATCAAAATTTATGAAAAATTTCAAAATTATTGTAAAGTTTCTCTGTCTGGTAAAAGCCTCCTTTAACAAATTGAAGATTCTGCTATATAAGAATTTTTTTTTCTGACAAGTTCCGTTTGCAAGAAAAGACCTCATGTAAGTAACCTTTGTGCTGTGATCCAATGGAAATAAGTATATACAAGTCTTTAAAAACTGGCTAAAAACAGTAGGAGCCTCCAAGTTTTTTTTAACTGTAATCATTCACCCGAATAACAGTTTGATTTAATCAATAAATGTGAAATTCTTAAAAGAGATTAAATGTGAATAAAAGGATGTTATAGGGGTACTGTGGATTCATTAATATTCGTTGGATACCAATTTTCGTGGATTTTGTGGGTACAGGGAAACCACGAATTTAAATATTCAATGAATTGCAAATGTTCTAAAGGAATGTTAATGCAGACTTTGTCAAAACCAAGAAATTAAATATCCACGAATATGCAAGTTTTCCTCATACCACGAAAATTGGTACCAACGAAAATAAATGAATCCACAGTATGTCAATAAAACAGCAGCCCACTAACCAAAACAAAAAAAATATCTAGAGGTCATCATATGGTTTTAAAAAATACACGAGTGTGTACGGTACCGGCATGTCAATCTCTAAATTGCTGTGAGTCTTTAGATTAAGCCGTAAAAAAAATCAACAGTCCGCAATAACTATGCTTGAGATGTTTCACTTGGAACATAAACAGAATAAACAGAGAGAGGTATTTATGATACACATGGTTTTATTTCAGAAAACAATATTACTATTTTAAGGAAGCTCTTTATAAGCAATATATATATATATATATATATACTTGAAAAATGTCGCCAATAACCTTGCAGAGAAAATTGGTGGGAGACCTCGATATTGTCAGCAAGCAATGTTGTGCATTTTCGCGCAAACATTGAGGTTATCAAGGGGGATGCAGCTTTTAGGATAAATCACGATTTTCTTTTAATCCAACATGGTGACATATATTTTTTATACGCCCGTTAAAATTTTGACACGACGTATTATGGTATACAAATGTCGTATGTCTGTCTGTCTGTCCGGCGTAAACATGTCGCACCGTAACTTGAGAACGACTTATCCAAGTTTCATGAAACTTAACATAGTTGTTTCTTATGATGGTCAAACAATCTGTATACTTTTTGGTGAAAATAAGATTAAAACTTTTTGAGTTACGGGACTTAGTAACTTAAACAGGTGTGTGTTTTTTTTTTTCACATGTCGCACCGTATCTCAAAAACAATTTATGATTATTGCTTAAAACTTTACACACTTCTTAGTTATAATAATCTTAAGATCTGTATACTTTTGGTGATGATTCAAAATTTTATTTTTGAGTTATTGAGTATTTTGTAAAAAAAGGGGGACAGGTTTTTCACATGTCGCGCCGTATCTCAAAAACGATTTATGATTATTGCTTAAAATTTTACACAATTCTTAGTTATATTAATTTGAAGATCTGTATACTTTTTGGTTTTGATTCAAAATTTTATTTTAGAGATATTGATTTTTTTTTTTTTAAAAGGGAGGTTTTCACATGTCTCGCCGTATCTCAAAAACGATTTATGATTATTGCTTAAAATTTTGCACACTTCTTAGTTATATTAATCTAAAGATCTGATTACTTTTTGGTTTTGATTCAAAATTTTATTTTAGAGATATTGAGTTTTTTGTAAAAGAAAGGGGGGTTTTCGCATGTCGCGCAGTATGTCAGAAACTATTTAAGATTATTGCATATAAATTCACACACAAGACGACGGGCGTATCATGCGCTCATGGCGCAGCTGTTTATTATTTGCTATTTTGAGTAAGCATGACAAACAGTTGATTTAGAAAAATGAGAAAAATGACAATATAAGAACCTCTCGATTTCCACATTTTAAGGTAAAAAAATATCCCACTTTCAGCATCTTATCCGTAATTTAAAGCATGGCATGAATAATTATCTAGTCATTCTTGCAGGGATTTATTTTTATCTTATTTTCACTTATCACAGCATCAGATTGAATCCAATGTTATCAACTTATGATGATGAATATCTACTCCAAAATTTTTACAACTTTGCTTAACATTTTTACAAAAGTGCAAAAATCCCCAATTTTCAGCCTCAATTTTCTCAAAAACAAGCACGGTGACCTATGTTTTATATGGTGATTTCTTTCATAACTCGCCCAGGCCTACAACATATTTTAAAATTATAAAAATGACAATATAATGTGAAACTGTATCGGATGCCCTTAATCTTTCAAAATAACAATATTGATAATGATTATTTCTATATATTTTCAGGAACTGTACAGTGAATATCATCCTGAAGTTTGTGTAATGTTTGCCTCCATACCAAATTTTAAAGATTTCTATCAACAAAGTGCTGCAAACAAAAATGGAATTGAATGCATAAGAGTGCTAAATGAAATCATTACAGAATTTGATCAGGTATAAAACTGACCTCATTAAGGAATGTGTATGATCGCTACAATGAAATAGTATTCATAACCCCCAAAACACCCAATAACAAACTCTTATTCAATAATTGCAAATGCTATAGAACTGCTGTATTAAGCAAGATTTATCTCAGGAATTATTATGATCATTGAAGTTTTTATTTTTTCACTGGTCAACCAATTTTATCTTTATGATTTCTGTAGGAAAGAACTTCATTGAATTTTCAGTACAGGTCACAGGATTTCCATTAATTTGATTGATAAGGAAAAATACCCACATTTTATAATTGTTGATACTTCTTAAAGTGTAAATAAATATTTTATGTAAGTATACACACAATAAAACATTAAAAACAACAACATAATACATAAGCAACATACTTATAAATAAATCTTCAAAAGTGTAAATTATGGATGTAAAATAAATTGTTATCCTATGGAATAATTACTTGATAACAATTACTGTACATAAGTAATCTGCATAATTATACCTACTATAGTTTTGTATGAGCATAGTGTGGGTGGTAGACTGTGATTACCTTGTCCATTTGCATCATTAAAATTTTCATTACAATGTCATAATAATCAGCTTCTGTTTTAAGGAATGATTTGACATATCATATCTGGGCTCGAGTTTTTTTGTATTATGATGTACAGACTGTAAAAGATTGCAGATCTGCTGGGCAGCCATTTCCTGTTTGGCAATACTTTGAAAATTTTTATTATATCGACTGAGCATTGAATTTTTCATCAATATCTAAAAACGAGAGGAAATATTTTACACAACATCTCATGAAACTTCTTGGGATATTTATGCTCCAGCCGTAGCGGAGGGGGCATTAAGTTTTACCCTTATCCGTCTGACAGACCTACTTACGTACGTCCCAAAATTGGTTTCCGATCTCTAACTTTAGTTTGCCTCAACCAAATGTTATGACACTTAAACTGAATGCTTATTACCACAAAACACAGATCAGGTTTGAATTTTGGTGGTGTCAATTTTACCATTCTAGAGTTATGCCCCTTTACAAATGGAAAATTTCTGAATTTTTTGTTTCCGTTCTCTAACTTGAGTTTGCCTCAACCAAATGTTATGAAACGAATACACAATGCTTATTACCACAAAACACAGATCAAGTTTGAATTATGAATTTTTCTTTTGTAGTTACTTTCTTTGAGAGATTTTGCTAGTGTAGAGAAGATTAAGACAATAGCCAGTACATATATGGCAGTAACAGGTTTGAAAACACCTAAAGCAGTGCGTGTACTTCGGAGAATTAACAGTAAACCCTTCACAGAGTATAGGAGCAACATCATTATTATGACAAACTTTGCATTAAAAATGATGACTTGTCTGGAGGAAATAAACAAACATTGTTTTAATGATTTTAGATTAAGAGTTGGTAAGTTATGATATACTATGTGAATGAACTTCACACATCTGTAGTAAACTTGTATAAAATTAAGGAGATGTTATATTATTGCCGGTGAGACAACTATTCCAGAGTCCAAATAACATGGATGGAAGCAGCTATTGGCCACCGTATGGTTGCTTCATTTCAGCTGAAAGGCAAACTCAATATGAAATAGTTTATTATGATGTGATTTCATTTTTATTGTGCTGTATTGACTGCTGAAGTACTTGTGAGTCATTAAATATGATCTCACCTTTAAAAAAAAACATTAAGGTAAATCTTTATTGGAAACTAAGTTTCAATTCAAAAGTAGATCAATAAATGCTCTTTTTCTCATCTTGCTATTTTCTGTTGTTGACACTTTCACATCTACTGAAAGGGGTCTCATTGGGAGGGTCTGATCCCGGATCACGCTTATTGGTTTGTCAGAATCCCAGAATCCCGCTTATCATATCAATAATAGCACTTGTAATTTCACATGTCCCGCCTGACTTCGTTTCCTGTTTTCAAACAAATTAATTTGACTTTCACGTGTGACACTTACAAAAAATCAGCCAATCCCTCATCACACTTACAGCCCAATGAGACCCACATTAAACATATTTTGACCTGTATATGTCTTGGTTTTGTTGCTGTCTCATTGATATATACTGCATCACCTTTAATTTATTCATAGCAAATCTACACACTTCTAAACAATTCATTCTCATACTATAATGTGTTATTACTTGCAGGTTTGAATCATGGTGCTGTCACAGCTGGTGTAATTGGTGCGAGGAAGCCTCAGTACGATATCTGGGGAGATACAGTCAATGTGGCTAGCAGAATGGACAGTTGTGGTCAGATGTGTAAAATACAGGTATATATCTAAGACTATATGGTCAGTTTTGATCTTTTGCAAAAATGACATCAAGTTTGTATTTCAAGTGTTCATAAGACATTAATGAATAACACATAGCTGAGAGGGTGATAGAGCAGATTGTTACCCCTGAGAAAACATTGTCAACTGAGGCGAAGACAAGGTTGACAATGTCTTTTGGAGGGGTAACAATCTGCTCTATCACCCTCTCAGCTATATGTTATACAACTCATTATACTGAATGTTCTGTTATTACTGTCTTTAATTTCAAATTCAAAGTTATAAACTACAACGTCTTGTGCATAACAATAATCCGTATTTATTAAAGCGCACACTTGATCTCAAGCGTCTCCGTGAAGGGTAAAAGAGTAATTGCCATGGGATAGAGTAAATTGTCTCCCTCCTATCAACCAATCAAAATCTGGCATTTAGACATGAAGTATAATAAAAGTAATAGCACAATGAATAGTTATATGTATGTTTAGCATGGTAGAAAGTCCCTATTAACATAAAGTTTAGTCTACAGAATAGTCTGATGAACCAGGAAATAATTTGCTTTTCTGTAACCTAGGTGGTTATTTTGTAGAATTATACTAATGGGTCTGTATGAATTTAATCAAGATTCTTTAATAGATAGTAAATTATGATAAATTATGATAAAATAATAGAAATTTGTCCTAAATGGGAGATAACTCATGTTTTCTTGAAAGTAGATGAGAATATTGGAAGGAATTTTAGATATTGTTTTTAATGTATTGAATGAATTAGTTATTTATTTTAACCTTATTTAAGGGAAATGTGTACCTTCTTTCATATGTAGCTTACTCTAAAGGACACTAAGGAGATAACTGTTTTAAGCTTGGCCTTTTTTAATATGTAGGTTTATTGTAATGAATACACCTTTAATATCGCTATTTAGTTCAATCTGGCAAAAAACAGTCACTTAGACAACTTCCTGTTTGGGTCAAGTGACGCAAAAACAAAGGTCATCAGTAATGAACTGAGGGCAGAAAACGTGTAGAAAGTGAACATTTTGAAATTTGTATAGTTTATGATCCAATTTTTTAAAAACAAATTAAAGTAAGAAATGTGCTTTGTATGAAGTGTTAACAATGGTTTAAACATAACTCTTTGAAAATTTTTATGCACAGTACATTATTTACAACAGGGCCCCAGATAGCTTCAACTGGTTTGAAAGAGTTGTGTAATTTTAGAACTTTTCCTGATTGGAATAAAAGTGTCAGACCACCAATTCACAATCACTATCTATTTCGACCAAATTTTGCAATTTTCACAGCTTTCTTAATATTTTACCTTGAGTTTAACTTCATAGAAACCAGGTATATCCTGAATTGTACATGTATCACCTTTCTATATGCAAATTTTTAACCCATGTTTAAAGACTTCTAGGAAAGAACTGCCTTTCGGAAGACAAGTAATACTAAAAATAACCCCTGGTTTTCTGGAAATCTAAAATTTGTATACTATGGAGCCCATTAATCCTCAATTTTTAATGCAACCTCATAGACAAGTAAATTTTGACTCAAAATGGTCTCTTTCACCAAAAGTTTCATTTCTGCAAATTTGTTGGTTAGTTTAAGTAAACAATGACATCAAAAGCACAATTTTGTCTCAGAGTAGGGCTACTTCTACATACGTTCTAAATTGGAGAGAGTGAATTGGTGGTCAGACACCTAAATAGCAATAAGGTGTATTGATTTTACCTAGCAACAAAATAGCACAGCTAGTTAAGCAGATATTTGCAGCATTAAAACCAAGTTTAATGTAGGGCAGGCTTAAAATTCAATCCAGTAATGTCAATTATATGCAAAATATACAAAACATTTTATTTTAGTCATTATTTCGGTTTTAGATTGAATAAATCCAAAAATTTGTGAAACTTTGTTCTTTATTATAACACCTAAACAGTATGATTATCATCAAAAGTAAACATCATTTGTTTTTAACATTTTGTGTATGCTTCAAAATGGAATATGTATAATTGACAAAAAAAGATTTTCAGTTGAAAAGATGTGACAATTTGTTTATTTTTTTGAAAAAATCACATACACTGCATCCATAAATTTGTAATGGCGGCTTACCATAGTTTCAAACAGAAATATTGAGAACTTCATGCGACTCTATTTAATCAGATCCATCAATACAACAAAATTGCATTTGAATAATTATTCTGTGACATATTTTAAAATAGAGTTATTTCCCCTGTGCATATTTCTATTTAATGCTGAACAGTGTGGAGTTTTTTGAGGGATACTCTGTTTGTTTTTCTCCATAAAATATGGTCAAATGTTTCAGTTTTTACAGTTATTCTGTCATCAACTAAGTTTTTTTTCCTACAAATTAAAATCAAAAATGTTCAAAAAAAAAAATACAAAAGTTAAATTATTTTGTAATCTTATGTACAATATTTTGTTTTTCTGTTTCCAGGTACCAGAGAAAACTGCTGAAGTACTTATAGAAGAAGGTTTTGATTGTCAGTACAAGGGCATTACACAGGTCAAGGGAAAGCAGCCTATGACAACATACTTTGTCTTGTATAAATCACAACCTTTATGATATTCAAGGTCAAAAGTTCAAGAATTTCTGCAAATTGAACTTTGATATTAGAATGACAAGGTGAAGTGTTATGATCTTTGCCAAGTCAAAGGTGATAGCTATATCAGAGGATAAGAATTCCAACAAACTGAACATCAGGGATATGTTGATATTATAAGTGCCAAATAAAGTGACTGATATTTTTATATGGGTGTCATGGTAATGAATGGGATTAAGCTGTTTTGTATTATTTTGACAGTTTTATACTTTTTAGTAAAACTATGTCAATGAAGATTAATTGACCACAGCAAAAAGATAGACATGATAGTATGGCTGAAAACAAATCAAATTCACAAAATTTAATTTTACTGTGTAAAAAATGGTAACTCTAAATTGAATTTTTTTACAAATAGAATTAAGATTATATGATGTCTATGTGATGTGTATTGAAGGATATGTCTGGAAGATTTGAGAAATATAATATCCTCTGCAATTTTTGTTATGATTATATGTGCGGTAGTAAATAAAATTTGTTTTAAGATCTTACACCCATGAGGCAATTGGCATTCTGTCTGAACCAGAAGATTTCTATTTGCCTAGATTGCTAAGATAAAACTTCAGAATAGATTCAAGTATTTGATTAATATAGTACTGAATATTCATAATTTTGTAAAAGGTGCACAAACTTGGTCATGTATTTCAGTTACCTGTTTTTATATGTAACATTGAAGTATGGGAATTGCTTCATAAGTGCTTTATTATTGAGTTTGAATTTCTGTATAGGTAATTTTAAGATAAAAATAACGTAATCAAAGTAAAGCAGCTTTGGATATTTCACAATAAGATATTATGGGAATCAGATTATTGCAGAAGTTTAAATGCATTTTTAATCTACCTCTTGAAATAATTCTAGATTTTGTGTTTACATTTATATTTTAATTTTATACCCTTATTGGAGAAGTTCTGCTCATCAAAATAATGGTAAATTTATCAAATAACGGTAGGAGTCATTGTATTTTGAATACTCTGGAGGTATTAGTGAATGGTGAGCTTTGTATTGATTTTTTAAAATCTTCTCCATTTAAACATTTTCATTCCAAATGTTCATTCCAATCAAATTTCCCCAATACGCCAGATCCCAAGATACGGTAGTTAGTTGCATCTGTCATGTGAATTCCATCACCACGTGACCAAAATGTAGGCATCGCCACTTCCAACACATGTTGAGTGAACGGGTGAAAAAGTTTTATGCTATACTGCATGAAATATTCGGGAAATTAAAATCTAATTAGTTGGTCACCCTCCCTTCAGTCGTAAGAGAATTGAGATAACGTACTTACAAAACATAAATTATTTCTAGACTAAACTACCTTGCAGAACTACGATCCTGAAAATAGTTGAAACTTTAATAACTTGCAGGGATATAGGTGCACCTATAGCCTATTATCCTCCAGGTCCACCAAATGTTTTAGATGTTGCGTTGTTGAATTATTATTATTTGTTCTCTTCCTAAATATGCAGGAAATATTTGTCATTTAACAAACAACAGTCTAGCTACCAGTAAATCCAATTTCATTTAATTTGTTTTTGTTTCAAATTTGAAATCCTGAATGAATAATCCATTGGCAAAAGTATTGCACAGAAAACACAGAACAAATAAACCGGGAATATTTAAAAACTATATTGTACAGAATTTTGTTGCATAGTTTTACTGTTTGCATAAAGTGCAATACTGCCTTATAGTCAAGTTAATAGCAAACAGTTGGAGAAAAGTGGTTACTAATTCTGTGTAATCCCCACCTGTTACAGTTTTTAAACTTTTTAATTAAGTTGTTAAAAGATTTTTACCCATCTAATTTATCTCTATATTTAAATGTAGCTTAAAGACAATTATCAATTTTTTTTAAAGAAACATTCTGTTCGATTAAAGACTTTGATCCATTTTAAAACACTTTTATGATCTCCGATTTATGAATTTTATGATCTTTTATATTTTCATATGGATGTTTGTTTTAACTTGTTCTTTTGTTGCTTTTTGAAATGATCGCATTTTTTTGCAAATGATATGCATTTTTTTTAAACATTTAAGTTGTTTGAATGTTTTTTTTTAGTTTTGTTTCTTCATTTTAAAACTTGTTATTCCTCTCTAATACAAGTTGTTATTTTAGTTGTGACATTATATAAATTAACACATAGCTGAGAGGGTGATAGAGCAGATTGTTACCCCGAGAAAACATTGTCAACCAAGGCGAAGCCTGTATTAAGTTGTACAATGACTTTTCATTATTATACTGAATGTTCTGTTATTACTGTCTATTAGATTTCAAATTCAAAGTAATAAACTATGATGTCTTTAACAGAACAACATTCCGTATTTAATAAAGCGCACACTTTATCAAGTGTCTCCAGGGTTAGAGTAAATTATCTCCCTTGTATTAACCAATCAAAATCTGGCATTTTGACATGAAGTATAGTAATGTCTATTGCTATTGTCAAGCTGTTTAATAAATAATAAAAATTAAACAAACTGAATTAAGTGTAATGTTCACCAAACATTATACATGTATCAAAGTTTTCAAGAATATTTCTGAAACTATGCATCATGCAGTTTTTAAATACTTAATACATGTAAATTACCAGTTATAAAAATTCATACAATTCTCAGAGAAATAAGCAGTTCATTCAGGCCTGTAGCCAGGATGTCACTGAGGGGGTTAATTTGGGGTCATGGCGCTCTGATTTCAAAAGTCTTTAATAGTATTGTCCTACAGGTGTTTCAATGAATAAGTTCTTATGGTAATTTTTGGTTCTATAATGACACCAAGGAATTTACCTTAAATACCATCACTTCTTTTAGGATGTTTATGTCACCCGATCGACAATGTCGGGTGACATATTGCTTTTCCTCTGTTTCTTTTTCCCTATTATTATTATTTTTCTTCCACCTAATTTTGTCCTGCAGTTTACTCGAAGGCAATGGAACCAATCTTCATGATTGTTGAGCATAATGAGGACCATCACCAGTGGAGTTGCAGTGAAACTTTAGAACTTTAAAATGGCCGTGTTTCCATGGAAACAGCAAAAATGTGAAAATATTTTTTTGTTTTTGATGACAAATTTGAGAATGCCTGAACTAAAAATCATCAAATTTTTATACAACATAGGTATCCACTATATACAGGTTTTTGATGATTTTGAGAATCATCGGAACTACTGTATTGCCATGGAAACTGGGGAAAGGTTTCCCATTATAACCCTATGGGAAAAACCTTAAAGTAATATTTTCTCTCTTAAAATGGTAGGTCAAATCCATTGAAACTTTGATGGTATGTTCCCTCCCATGTACCAATGTGGCATCTGTCATTACAATTTTGGGAATGGTCTTTGTTACCATGGAAACCAGCAAAAATGTCAAAAATTTCAAAATGCTCCAAACTTAATATAACTTTATATTAATGCTAACTGGCATGTACTTTTGACTTTGGAATTTCCAAAATGGTCGCCATTGCCATGGAAACAGCAGAAATGGGAAAATTTCAAAATGCTCCAAATGTTATGAAAATTTACAGAAAGATGTATTGCCATGCATATATGTGCATTCACTGTTTAAAATTTTTAAAAAGGCTGCCACTTAGTTGGAAGGGTGACATCCGCTATTGCTTGCAATGGCAAATCTAGTTTGTTTTCTTTTAGCTCATGTAAAATGATTAGAAAGTTTGTAAAAGTGACCCCAAGAGTGTATAATAAATACAAACCCTTTCAGATGAAATGAATTATGGTTGTTCTCAATAATGTCAAATGTCCAATGATGATAGAATAGAAAAACAAATGCTTAATGATGATAAACAATGGGTGTTGTACCTAAATGACGTATTCTTAAAGAAATTTGCATCTATGTTTAGTGGTTTAAAACCAGTGACGCCATTCCAAAGTTCAGTAACTGAATATTTGATACTTTGCTTGAAATTTATTTACAAATTAAAACAAACAAGTTGAATGTTCTCTGTTAGCCCCATGTTTCATTGTATTCATTCAATTAGTCAATAAATTCTGCAGACTACCAATTAACCTAAACTTATAGCAGGAGAATATTCTGTTAATTATTATGAAAGGTAAAGGTTAATAAGTGGTTGTATTTATGTATGTTATTCTAGTCATCTTATGCATATTCATAAAAGTCATTGCAAAAACATTTAAAACTATTTGTCAAAAACAATTTCCAGAAACAAATTGGCCATTACTTGTACTTTTAACACATGGAAAGTACACTCCAAAACTGAATGCACATTTTAAAACAGACCTCAAAATTCAATTTGCTTGATATATCTATTAGAAATTGAAGTTTATAGGTTGTACGTGTATAAGTATAATTGATTTACAATTATGCTTGTGATGGTACTAATGTTATTGTGTCTGTTCTTTTTTATTTTATACTGGTGCTTTTAAAAGTTATTTTATTTACACATATGAAGTCTTGCAATGAATTATAGATAGTATGATAATGTCTCTAAATGTTTCTTGTTTATTATTCTTATAATTCCATCATTCCCTAGTTATTTTTATAGATTTACAAGGTTAGCATTCCATCTATGTGTTTGTATGTCATATTATTGTTTTGTATCATGAGAGTAATTGTCCAAAAGATATTTACTAAGTCAGAATCGGTTATTTTAATTGAGTTTTTGTTGTTTATTTATTACATGAGTCAAGATCAAATGTATTAATGTTTATGGATATAAAAAAGTCCATTGAACAACAATTTTGTTTGTGTTATTATTGCATAGTACATATTTGTGTAAACCATTTTGAGTCAGCATTTTGATAGCATCTGACAATCTGAGCATTTGAACCAGGATTTTGATAGCATTTGGCAATCTGAGCATTTGAGCCAGCATTTTGATAGCATCTGAGAATCCGAGCATTTGAGCCAGGATTTTGATAGCATCTGACAATTTGAGCATTTGAGCCAGCATTTTAATAGCATCTGAGAATCTGAGGCATTTGAGCCAGCATTTTGACAATATCTTAGAATAATCCAACCTGACATTTAAAAACATTTGTTCAAACCTAAAAATCTAAGGTTTGGCCACAATTGATTTTCCATTCTTTGGTATAGTAATAATTCATGATTAATGTAAAGCCATTCCTGCATATAGTCAAAATTACTTATTGATAGCAAACAGTTCTTGGGTATAGTAATATTTCCTAATTTAAGTCAAACAATTCCTGAGTATAGTCATAATTCCTAAATCAAGTCAACTATTTCTTAATTCTAGCTAGATGTCAAAACTAAACCGGAGTATATTCCTGGTTATGGTGAAACTATTTGTGAGTAAAGTCATAATTCCTGCTCAATGTCAAACTATTTCTGGGTATAGTCATAATTCTTGCTTGATGTCAAACCATTCCAAGATTTAGTCATAATTCCTGCTTAAAGTCAAACCTTTCCTGGGTATAGTCATAATTCTTGCTTGATGTACATGTCAAACATTTCCTGGGTATAGTCATAATTCTTGCTTGTTGTACATGACAAACCATTCCTAGAAATAGTCATAATTTTTGCTTGATGTCAAACCATTCCTATGTATAGTCATAATTCCTGCTTAACATCAAACCTTTCCTGGGTATAGTCATAATTCTTGCTTGATGTACATGTCAAACCTTTCATTGGTATAGTCATAATTTTTGCTTGATGTACATGTCAAACCATTCCTAGGTATAGTCATTATTCTTGCTTGATGTCAAACCATTCCTATGTATAGTCATTATTCCTTTTTAATGTCAAATGATTCTTGGGTATAGTCATAATTTCTGCTTGACGTCAAACCATTTCTAGGAATAGTCATAATTCCTGCTTGATGTCAAATGATTCCTGAGTATAAACATAATTCCTGCTTGATTTCAAACCATTCCTAGGTAAAGTCATAGTTTCTGCTTAATGTCAAACCATTCCTAGGAATAGTCATAATTCCTGCTTGATATCAAACTCTTCCCAAGTATTGTCACAATTCTTGCTTGATGTCAGACCATTCCTGGGTATAGTCATATTTCCTGCTCGATGTTAAACCATTCCAGGGTATAGTCATAATTCCTGCTAAATGTCAAACTATTCCTGGGTATAGTTATAATTCTTGCTTGATGTCAAACCATTCGAATGTTTAGTCATAATTCCTGCTTAATGTCAAACCTTAAATTTCCTGGGAATAGTCATAATTCTTGCTTGATGTCAAACCATTTCTGGGTATAGTCATCATTCCTGCTCGATGTTAAGCCATGCCTGAGTACAAATAAAGGCAACTTTATTCTACTAGTTTTCATACTCATAATTCCTGAATTATGACAACTTTTTCTTAATTCCTGATTGATGTCAGACTATTCCTAGATTAAGTCATAATTCCCGAATCATGACAACTATTTCTTAATTCCTCATTGATGTCAACCTATTCCTGGGTATACTCATTTTACCTATTTAATGTTTAACTAATCATGGGTGTAGTCGTAATTCTTGTGTGATGTCACCATTCCTAGGTAAAGTCATAATTCCTGCTTGATGTCAAATGATTCATGGGTATAGTCATAATTCCTGCTTAATGTCTAACTATTTCTGGGTATAGTCATAATTCCTGCTTGATGTCAAACCTTTCCTGGGTATAGTCATAATTCTTGCTTGATGTACATGTCAAACCTTTCCTGGATATAGTCATAATTCTTGCTTGATGTACATGTCAAACCATCCCTAGGTATAGTCATTATTCTTGCTTGATGTCAAACCATTCCCAAGTATAGTCATAATTCTTGCTTGATGTCAGACCATTCTTGTGTATAGTCTTGTGTATAGTCATAATTTCTGCTTGATGTCAAACCATTGCTGGGTATAGTAATTATTCCTGCTTGATGTCAAACCATTCCTAGATACAGTCATAATTGCTGATTGATGTTAAACTTTAATTATTCCTGGGTATAGCAAACTCTTCCCTTAGCCGTATTTGGCACAACTTTTTGGAATTTTGGGTGCTCATTGCTCTTCAAATTTGTACTTGTTTGGCTTTATAACTATTTTGATCTGAGCGTCACTGATGAGTCTTATGTAGACGAAACGCGCGTCTGGCGTATT